GCATCACTCCAGTATTGCTCTCGCTTATTATAAGATTGTGTAGTGTTATGCTACTTACATATCATTTTACATTATTTTAAATTCTATTTTCCATTCTGTTTCGATTTTCTGCATTCACCTCAAAACTGGATATTTTACATCACCTTTATTTCCATAGGATCCTGTAACGATTTTAAACCATAAGAACACAATAACAAATCATTTCTACTTCGTATTTTCACATTATTAGCACTTTTAAATTGGTGTCAATGGGAGTCTACCTTTTTTCGATCTTTTAGTTAGTTTTCCGTAACTCTACATTTTCGGGCTTTGTGTGGGCAGTTGCGCTACCTTTTTTCCTATATCAATAATATCTCATTTTTCACTTAAATCTTACCGTTTTCTTATTATAAACCTAAAACCAAAATTTGACATGTTTTGACATTGCTATTTATTTCGTTTCCATAGTAATTATATTCAAATTTGCTACCGATCTGTTGTTCCTATTTCGATAATTCCACATAAATACTCTTTTCTCTTGACCATTTACAAAAAATTTGCGTTTAATTTAAATAATTTTTCCGTTCTCTCTAGAAAGGTATAAAAGCCGAACAATCGGTGAAGAAAGGCAGTCTCGCTTCAGTTCGCGAATTGGAAGTATCTCCTAAAGGCCTTATCTCGGGGCCGCACTGCCCCGGGATCCTGCAGGCCTCCACCTACACGTGAAGTCTTCGGCGAAGCCTTCTTCAAGCGCGGAGCCGCACCACTCCGGAATCCAACAAGCCTCCATCTACCTCGGAAGTCGTCGGCAGTCTACTTCAAGCGCGGGGGCCACACTACTCCGGGCGCTACGACTGCTTACTCCAGGCGCCGAGTGCACCTACCGCCGGCGCTACCTTTGGGCGCTGCAACTGCTGGCTCTAAGCGTTGAGCGCCCCTACTCCAGGCGCTACGTGCGCCGGCTCCGGACGCTGCGTGTGCTGGCTCCAGGCGCTGCGTGCCGTCGCTGCTAAGAAACCTACCTCTAGAAGCGCAACCGGCGTGTGCTGGCTTCAGGCGCTGCGTGCCGTCGCTGCTAAGAAACCTACCTCTACAATCGCAACGTGTGTCGCTTCGACTTTTAGGCTCCACTACAACTCTATATTCCCCTATTCTCCTACCTTTATTTTTTTTGTAATCTAATTGTACTCTCACTTCATCCATCATCATCCTCATTTCATTTTTTTTAATTGTCGCTTCACGACATTTGGCGCCCAACGTAAAAGTCCTCTTTCTCTCTTAATTCTTCACCTTTACTGCGCCTTGTCCATTCCCTTTTGATTTAATTGCTCTTCCTTTCGTTCTTAACTCATTATTCATCATTCATTTATTCATCCTTTTCATACCTTCCAAATTCTTAAACAACACTTCATCTAGTGTTTCAACTTATCTGGTTTATATTTAAACCTACATTTCACACAACACTTACATTCATCACTTTAATATTTTTATTCTAGGTAACTTAAAGAGGTATAACTTTTCAATTAAATCTTTATTTCTTAAACTTAACTTTGAACTTTACACTTTATATAAAATTGTTTTTCAAAGCTGAAGCGAGACGATTCATAACTTTTCTAAGCATTTACTAACTGTTAATTTGTATATATGTATAAATATCTAAACATTTATTAACTGTTAATTTGTATATATGTATAAATATCACCATCATTCTCACCTTATTATTTTTATTTCTTTTAATTTGTTTGTTTGTTTGATGATCCAGTGTTCTTCAACACATCTTGCTTTAGGACCTCGAACTTTCGTTGGTTAATCTTCACTTTTTATTTCAGACACATCTCGCTAGTGATGTTGCTGATCTCTGTCTTTGAGCCCTACCGCTCTGGCCGTTCTTAATCTTTACTTAAGTCATAGCGACTAAAGCTTGCTTAAGATTGATTTCTTTATCTTTATCTTCACTTGGGAGCGGCTGACTACTCCCTTAATATTTTTTTTTTATCTTCACGCAGGAGCGGATGACAACTCCTTAAATAAGCCTGAATGTCCTTTCGAAAACACACTTTTAAGAGTGGTGTTTCTTCGACTAATTTTTTTTTTCCACGCAGGAGCCGATGACTACTCCTTAAATAAGCCTTAATGTCGTTTTGAAAACACACTTTTAGAGTGGTAGTCATTGAATGTGAACTCCACCCTTACCTGAATGGCAGATGATGAATGTAAGAGATGGTATATCTGACTTTGCCTGGTGATGTCTGTTTCTGCAAAGCTGTGTTTTTATGGTTTATTTTAGAATGTATATATCAAAATTTTTGCTGAGTCAAAATTTTTCCAGGGTCGGGGGGAAAATGTAGTGTTATGCTACTTACATATCATTTTACATTATTTTAAATTCATTTTTCCATTCTGTTTCGATTTTCTGCATTCACCTCAAAACTGGATATTTTACATCACCTTTATTTCCATAGGATCCTGTAACGATTTTAAACCATAAGTACACAATAACAAATCATTTCTACTTCGTATTTTCACATTATCAGCACTTTTAAATTGGTGTCAATGGAGTCTACCTTTTTTCGATCGTTTAGTTAGTTTTCCGTAACTCTACATTTTCGGGCTTTGTGTGGGCAGTTGCGCTACCTTTTTTCCTATATCAATAATATCTCATTTTTCACTTAAATCTTACCATTTTCTTATTATAAACCTAAAACCAAAATTTGACATGTTTTGACATTGCTATTTATTTCGTTTCCATAGTAATTATATTCAAATTTGCTACCGATCTGTTTTTCCTATTTCGATAATTCCACATAAATACTCTTTTCTCTTGACCATTTACAAAAAATTTGCGTTTAATTTAAATAATTTTTCCGTTCTCTCTAGAAAGGTATAAAAGCCGAACAATCGGTGAAGAAAGGCAGTCTCGCTTCAGTTCGCGAATTGGAAGTATCTCCTAAAGGCCTTATCCCGGGGCCGCACTGCCCCGGGATCCTGCAAGCCTCCACCTACACGTGAAGTCTTCGGCGAAGCCTTCTTCAAGCGCGGAGCCGCACCACTCCGGAATCCAACAAGCCTCCATCTACCTCGGAAGTCGTCGGCAGTCTACTTCAAGCGCGAGGGCCACACTACTCCGGGCGCTACGACTGCTTACTCCAGGCGCCGAGTGCACCTACCGCCGGCGCTACCTTTGGGCGCTGCAACTGCTGGCTCTAAGCGTTGAGCGCCCCTACTCCAGGCGCTACGTGCGCCGGCTCCGGACGCTGCGTGTGCTGGCTCCAGGCGCTGCGTGCCGTCGCTGCTAAGAAACCTACCTCTAGAAGCGCAACCGGCGTGTGCTGGCTTCAGGCGCTGCGTGCCGTCGCTGCTAAGAAACCTACCTCTACAATCGCAACGTGTGTCGCTTCGACTTTTAGGCTCCACTACAACTCTATATTCCCCTATTCTCCTACCTTTATTTTTTTTGTAATCTAATTGTACTCTCACTTCATCCATCATCATCCTCATTTCATTTTTTTTATAAAATTGTAAATACCTTTTAAAAATTTAAATATATTGTTTTCTGGCTCTACTTTTGTTGTTTTGTTGTTCTTAGGTTAGGTTCTATTTTTTATTCTTTATTGTCGCTACACGACAATTGGTAATAGTAAAGTCTCGGATTGGGGGCGACTAAATCTAGTCCAGTTTAATCCTCAGAAGACACAAGTTTGCGCGTTTACCGCTAAAAAGAACCCCTTTGTCGTATCTCCTCAGTTTCAAGGTACTCCCCTTGTTGCCTCAGCCAGTATCGGAATCCTCGGCGTCGACATATCGAGTAACGTGCAGTTTCGTGGTCACTTGGAAGAGAAGGCCAAATTGGCCTCTAAAAAGCTTGGCGTGCTCAGTAGAGCGGGACAGTATTTCATGCCGGCTCAACGCCTGCAACTTTACAAGGCGCAGGTTCGGAATACTGTTCCCATCTCTGGGCTGGGGCTCCCCAGTGCCAGCTCCTTCCACTTGACCGCATTCAGCGCAGAGCGGCTCAAATCGTCGACGACCGAGTCCTTTCCGATCGGCTCGACTCATTGGCACTGCGAAAAGATGTTGCATCTCTTAGCATTTTCTTTCGCATCTACCATGGGGAGTGCTCTGAGGAATTGTTCGGATTAATCCCAGCCGCCAAATTTCAAGAACGCACATAGCGGCGGAACTCCCGATACCATCCACACCATCTGGATGATTGGCGGTCCACCACTGTGCGATTTAGAAGATGTTTTCTTCCTCGCACAACTTCCTTGTGGAATAGTTTACCACCAGCGATTTTTCCGGACCGATACGACTTAGGGACCTTCAAGAAAAGAGCCTATATCTTTTTAAAAGGCCGGCAACGCATCTGCTATTCCCCTGGTGTTGCGGTTGTTCATGGGCGGCGGTAGTCACTTACCATCAGGTGAGCCGCATGCTCGTTTGCCCCCTCTCCTATAAAAAAAAACTTAGTAAATAATGTCAAAGCTAGATTAGCTTTTATTTCGAGTTCCTCAATATTTTTGGAAATATAGCTGGAACGTGGTCTATCACGTATTATTTTACATCAGGTGTAAACGGGATGGTTATACCATCTATCGAACGTAATGATATCTTTCTGGCATTTCGTATAGTCAATGCAACAATACCCACGGGTCGAAGATGTATAGTCGTTTCTCTTAAGCCACAATCGCAATTGTTACAAGTGGAAACAAAACAATGAATAAAACGCAGAAATAGGTTAAATAAATTTATTGATATAATTTTTGTTATCACAGAAATGTATAAGGTACTTTTTGGACATATACCACAATGGAAATACAATTAACAGTAAAAAGTTTCAAAACAAAAACACACAGACCACCAGTTAGCACTAACGTAAATAGCTAATGTAGACGGAACGTGACGTTGTTGGAGTAAGTAGTTGACACATGATTATAAAGTAATTGACCAAGATATTTAGGCACTGATATTTCTTGATTGCTAAACTGACACTGAGATTGTTGACATCCCCACGTAGTGCCTACCACCATCCACTCCTCCAGCCAGAGGACCAGCCGCCGTAACCTCTGTGGCCGCCGTAGCCTCTGTGGCCGCCGTAGCCACCGTAGCCACCGAGACCGCCGTAACCGCTGCTGTAGTACGGCGAGTATACCACCGGCCGTGAGTAGACCACTGGCGAAGAATACGAGTACGGCGACCAGCCAGAGCGTATGTAGCCGGCCGAGGCTACGCCCAGAATGGCAATAACAGCAAAGATGCAGGCCTGGGAACGAAACAAGGGCAATTTAAAATATTATGGCACATTTTTTGACTTCGATATTATTTAAAGTGATTGAACTGAGTGTTGTAACTGTTCCTGTGTTTCTGACATTGCGACCATGCCATTGCTTTCATTTGCATTCAGCAATTAAGAGTAAACCGGAAACAATGTCTAGAAATATGTTATAAAAAATAATATCTAGGTAACAGGAATTTTAATTATTAATGCTATAAAATCCCAATTAATTAATTCATTTGGTAATAATGAGTATTCTCAAGTAGAAATGGAAATATGTTCTACAGTTGTAAAGATTAAAAAATCAGTTAGCTCTAAATTAAATGAATAATATAAATCAACAACTTACGAAGAATTTCATTTTGGTAGTTGTTGACTGCTTCAGGAGCGATGAGTTAGTACGAAGTGCGAAGCGAGTATTCTCCCTTATATACCACTATACATCTCGTCACCGAGGATAAATATGTGACGTAGCCTTAATGGGCCTAAACAACAGTTCAACAAGCTTGTACAACTGGTCGAGAAGAAACACTGCATTATAGATAATTTTATTCACTGTATGACGTGTATTGGAGGACGGGCCTCTCCTTTTAGTATCGTAATGGGCTTATTTCACATAGTTGCATCGTAGTTTCTCGCTCTGCAACTATTGCTCCTCTCGTATTAACCATTTGCAGGTTATTTCGAGGTAAATCGGTAATGAATATGTATATCGATGTTTTGTTTACGACAACAGACGAAATGGAATCATTGTTGATTATTGCGTAGGCGTCAGAATGCCAGCTTTGCCAGGTCACCGGCTTAATATTAACGATCTTCTATAAATCACTTTGTAGATTTAAAACTAAATCCATATAAGGCTTACTTAACCTTCGATTTAGAATATTGTTTTGTATACAAAATTAATAGATTCACTCAATACAGTTAATGCAAATATGAAGTAGATAAAGTAACTCTAAAAAATAAAATAATAATTACTTGTCTACGTCGTCCTCCAAATTTGGGAAATAGCAAATAGTTTACTTAATATGTTTTTGATTATAGAACAAGTTTATCCAGAAGGACAAGGATTATAATGCGCAAGTGTATGCGTGAGTGCGTAAGCACAGGTGACAAGGCGCAGGACCGGCTGTACGTGCTTTCCGAGGCAAGGTGTTGAAACACCGCCAATTTACTGACTCCGGGCTACTACTAAGAATATCTTGACGGAAAAACTCAATAACTGATTTTTTGTCTCGACCTGGAATTCGAACCCGAGACCTCATAATCAGCAGTCGTGTTTACGATCACTACACCAACGCGGCAGTCAGTAAACAAATATTAGATGTTATAAATAATATCACTGAGCTGTCTTTATTTAAATATATTAAGTGGCGAAATATTTATAACAAAATACAATATTTATGACATAAAAACTGGTCTGACTTTAAATTAACTTTAGTCTGTATTATTTTAACTCAATTAATATTTATTTAATAATGGCTAACAAAAAATTTATGACCATATCAAAGTAGGCAAAAAAAAATAATTATTTAAACTCATATTCAAATTTAAAAACGGATTTGCTATTTGTTGTTCCAAGCTGGCGTCACTATATCATTTAAATTTAGAACAGTGCACCTGGTACTAGGTGGTACGACTCCTTTACTACGTAGGAGTTTGTCTGGGTTTTTGGGAGTGCCTGTACTGCTGTGTTTCGGTTTGAACTGTATACTCTTAGAGATCTAGTAGAATTATGGGCTACGAGTCCACAGAGGTGACAACGCATATTTAAACTGCTTTGTGTGAAGTTGGTTACACGTGTACATTTATTTAAAGAATAAGTGTGACAAAGGAGAACACAGTCCACTTTATGGTGAGTGGATACTGTGGCCTATAGATATCTACATTTATCCTCGATTAAGAATCAAAATGCAGATGCATTGTCACCCCTGAGGATTAAGATGGAATACCTCGTGTCCAGTAAAAAGGGTCTCCGATTCTCTATACTCACCATACTAATAATAGGTAAATATATATATTCAAGACCCAGTGGTAAAAAATAAAAATGGAAAAAGTAATAATTTATTTGACAGTTCTCACACTAAACGCGCAGACCTGTATCGTGAGAGATACATATACACAGATTAACACAAGTAAACTTAATGCTCGGCAGAGTTTACAAAGATGAATTTTCCTTTTCTTTAAATATCTTCCTTATTTTGTTCTTCGTATAGAAAGATAAATATATATTAATATAACAATTATTAATTTGTTTATGTATACATTACAGCATATTAAAGTCCACTGCTGAGTATAGGCTTTGCCAATAGATTTCCTCATACGGGAGACGCCTGGCCACGCCTGGCAAGCGGGTTGGCAACCGGAGTTTTTGATTTAATTTTTCATCAGATAAAAGGAAGATGCTACTGTCCATCTCCTGGTTCGGTTTCTTTCTATTGTCTCTTACGACACCGAAGGGATGGTATGGGGTAGTATTTAGTGAATATATTTACACCACCACTACAGTGTATAATATATCAACTTTATTATTATTTAAAAAAAAATCTGGTGTTAATCTCTCTTTGAGTATAGAAACGCAATCCTTTCGTTAAATATATTTTATATTTTCATCATAAATCCCCCTGTTCCCAAATGCCATGAAAATTTTTGTGGTAGAGCCATAGTCCTTAGCTACATAGTCGGCTTGACCGGAGAAGGGCCACGCTGTTACAGAGTACCAGCATAAAATATAAGCTTAACGCTGCTATGTTTCATATGGTGTGTGTTTAGAACCGGATACCCTTATACTGGAAACGAGGCATTCCATCTTAGTCCTCAGGGGTGACAACGCATCTGCATTTTGATTCGTAATCAAATACAGATGTAGATGGCTATGAGCCACAGCAAACACTTACCATCAGAATGACTATGTGCTCGTGCGTCACCCTTATACTATAAAAAAGAAACAATATAAAAAACTGACTGAACTGAACTGAACTCCTATTTTGAATGATATTTTTATGTTACATATATGCATAAATTAATTTAAAATTTTCAATTTTCGCAACCTATACTAATAATTTTTTCCGATTACGTTACTTTACAAACGTTACTCATTTATAGAAAATAATAACGATGTTGTAACTAATACATGTATGTCATTATACGCTAAATGAAATTTTAAAATTAGACAAAAACTGCATACTTAACAAAAGTGTAAAATTTTGCTGTTAAAAATATTACATAAGGAATTTCGTTTTTATCGGACAGACTTAAATCTTAAAAGCCTAAAACATTATTAATTGCATACTAAGCTTTGCCAACTCATACTCAATTTAGTTAACCGTAGATTTACCTTCAACGCCGTGCACAAAATAATAAAATTCAACTAAAAATTTCATCGGTACTGGCTGGGATCGAACCTGATTTGCTTAAATACTGTTTGAATTAACAGCGAGCGCTTCGCCCCTGAGCAACTACACTTCATGTTGATAAGATGGTGTTTTATCCCACGAATTCATTTAAAACAAAATAAATATAACTTTGCAATGACAAAGCTACTTACAGGAACAGATCTAAAATTCGGAGAGGGTCAGAGACTCAAGACTTTTATCGCAATACTTTATGACACAAAACTGCCAAATAATTATTTATTCTTCTTCATCATCAACCCGTGTAAGTCCACTGCAAGTTACGTACCTCTCCATTCTAGGGCTCAATTCAAAAGGTTTAACATATATATAACATATTGGTTAATTCAGAGCCATACATAAAATATCCGGTGCGGCAACGGTACACGGGCGGCAACTTCACAGATGCGAGACGTCTTGTATGTGATACCTATGATCCGCGAAATAAATGATAATGATTATGATTATTATGAATCGAAGTGAACGTTACCTACTTAATTTTATTTAAAATATCATATTGAAGGTCTGTTTTATGATGAAATCTTTTTATGATGAAATTACACCTTACAATTATAAAAATATCAGTACTATTACTGTTTGTGTTAGAACAGTAGTGTGGTTTATAAAATATAATCAATTAGCCTCAAAACACTAAACGAGGTAGAGCCATGCTGCAGCTATATCAGTAGTATAGCTGTAGCACGAATGGGTCGGCTCGACCGGCGAAGGGCCACGCTCTCACAGAATACCAGCGTCAAATAGCAGCTGTGTTTCGTAAGGTGAGTGTAGAGAACCGGAGATCCTTCTTACTGGAAATGAGGCATTCCATCTTAGTCCTCACGGGTGACAACGCATCTGCATTTTGTTTAATGTAGATGTCTATGGGCCACAGCAACCACTTACCATCAGGTAGACTGTGTGCTCGTTTGTCACCCTTATCCTATAAAAAAGCAATAAAACCTCAAATTAAATTAATTACTAATAAAAAATCTATGCGGACGAAGTCTCGGGCACAGCTAGTTATATAAATAAATATCTAATGTGATTTGGATAAATACTTATATCGGTTTTACAATATTTATTTTAAATTTTAAATTTACATAATACATAATCACTCACGCCTGTCACCCAGAGGGATAGGCAGAGACTATGGACTTCCATTTGGCACGATCCTGACACACCTCTCTCGCTTCCTCCACATCCATATACCTACGCGTGCACGCTCGTCGGTTAAAGGTACTCTTGATCTCGCCGATTTGGTCGATAAAATTTCACCTATGGCGACCCTTCCCGACTCTGCCGTTCACCTCTACAATATAAATTTGCTTTGTCACTCTTTTCTCATTCATTCTTTCTACATGACCAAACCACCGAAGCATTCCTTTCTTAATCTTGGTCACCACATCATCTTGCAATTTAATTTATTAACTATAAAAACGTTATGATATAAAACGAGTATGAAGTTTCTCCAAGTGTCAATGTAAATTATTTGATGGCCCATGGCGCAATGGCTTGGCATTGAGTGGCGGCGCTGAGGGCTGCGAGTTTGAATCTAGCACGGAACAAGTATTCGTATGACCTACAAGTGATTGTTCCGGTTTAGGTTGTTTTTCTTGT